CTCAAAAATAAATAAAACGTTAAAAAAAAAATTAAAAAAAAAATGCCCCCTAGTGACTGTCATTTCCCTCTGGGGCTGAATCCACTGAATTAGTAAGCGCACAGCGTGTGGCTTTGGCCCCCACGCAGGCCTCCGGGAGAGGAGACCTGTTGGATCATTGATCATTGTTAATTATCTCCTGCGGCCCAAGCCCAGGAGAGTGGGGACAGGGGGGTGATGGGAGGTACCTGGGTCTCTCGAGCTGGTACCGCAAGAACCACCTGACCGCAGGGTCCTCGAAGCCGTAGTTGAGGGTCCAGAAAACACACAGGTGCTGATACTGACAGATCAGGCCCAGGACGGTGCGGAGGCCTTGGGCCAGGCTGAAGGCCTCCTTCCCACAGCCCTGCTCCCAGGCGAAGATGGTCAGCAGCTCCAGGGCATAGGCTGGAGGCAGCTCCTCCCTCCTCACCTCCCCCTGGCACACCTGTAAGAGGGGAAGGGGAGGGGAAAGAGAGCGCTCCCTGGAGAACTTCCCCGGAGCTCTCAGTCTGGGGGGTGCAGAGCCCGCCCACCGGGACGCAGGCGAAGCCTGAGACGAGATGCTGCATTCCAGGAACAACCTGCCGTGTCTCATCTGCCCTCGCTCCTGGGGCTTCGGCCAAGCCTCGGGCGTATGCGATGCGAGCCTCTGGGATTGGGGAGCAGTCAGAGAGAGGCCGGCGGGTGGGCAGTGCGAGGCTGCTGCTCATCCTCCAGATGAGCGAATGGCAGAACTTTCCAGGGCCACACAGGGAGTTGTTGGCTGAACGAGATCCGGAATCCAGGATCTCCTCCCCCCAGACTTGCTTTATGATGAGTGGTCCACCAGAAAGACCAAGCCGTGTGCCCAAAGATCTTGGGGGGGAGGGGGCCTGTTCCCTCATCTCCAGGCACAGGCTGGGCACCCCTTCTTCAATACACAACAGTCTGTCGACAAACATGAATGTTTCGGGAGTGGGGGTCATTCCTGAGGCTGAGGCGGGAAGCATACAAACTCCGCGTTACTTCATACCATAGATAAAATATTCCAGAGTTCAAAGCCCTGAACCCACACGAAAAGAAAACTTTAGAACCTTCTGGAAGGAAATATGGGAGAAGAATTTTAGAAAGGATAGGGGCGCCTGGGTGGCTCAGTCGGTGAAGCGCCCGACTTCGGCTCAGGTCACGATCTCGCGGTTTGTGGGTTCGAGCCCCACGTCGGGCTCTGTGCTGACAGCTCGGAGCCTGGAGCCTGCTTCAGATTCTGTGTCTCCCTCTCTCTCTCTGCCCCTCCCCTGCTCAAGCTCTGTCTCTGTCTCTCTCTCAAAAATAAATAAACATTAAAAAAAATTAAGAAAAAAGTCAGGATAGGCAAAGCCTACTTACACAAGATTCACCAAGTACAAATCACATACGAAAAAGATGAACACACCTGATTACATTAAAATCCCGACATTTTCCGTGACAAAAGACCTACGAACGAAACGGAAGTCCCAGCCTCGTCCTGGGAGAACAGATTGCATTATGTTAACTCAGTAAGAATTAGCACCCAGAATATGTAAAGAGCTCCAACAAACCAACAAGGAGAAAACAGCTAGCCCAGAAGAAAATAATAAACCAATGATATGAACAGGCCTATCTCCCTAAAGAGAAACACGAGTGGCCATGGAACATAAGAAAATATTCTCGCCATCGCGAAATCACAAATTCCAACAGTCCTATGCCTGGGGCGAGGACCCTCCGAAGCCACCTTACCTGACGGAACCAGTGCTTCACCAGCAGGATCAGGTTCTTCAGCTTGGCCGGGCGAACGTTCACGAAGTTCCTCCGCAGCTCCGCGAAGCAGGCCGCATGCTCGCCCCCCTGGCAGCCGCTGTCGAGGAGGCGGGAGTAGATCTGGGGCTTGAGTTTGACATCGGAACTGAGCTGTCCTGCGGGAGTGAAGTGCTGTGCGTCAGGAAGGGTTCCGAGGCACAGGATGGAGAGCCGGGGGCGGGGAGGAGGGCAGTTTGGTGGAGGCGGGTATCCACGAGCATGGGGGCTGGAGGATGAGGAAGAGAGCCTGGAGCTTCTCAGGGGGCAGGGAGGAAAGGTCTAGACCAGAAGGAAGAGCCCCTTCCTTCCAAATGGCCAGGCAGCCCCCAGGGCCCGGCTGCATTCCAAGCCGGCTCCAAAGGAAGGATGCTTCCAGCTGAATCAGGAGTACCTAGAACCTGGTAGTTCTTCCCTCCCTGCGGTTCCCTCAGGCAGAACAAAAATGCCACTGCACATACCTTTAATTGGTGCCAGAGGGGAAAGGCACGGTGCTGGGGAAACGGTAAGGCAAAGGATTCTGAGCCCTTGGCAGTGATAATATTTTTTTAGTGCTTGCGACACTAAAGTTTCACATCGAGTGCCGCGTCTCCCCACTAAAACCCCACCGGGCAACTTCATCTTACAGCTGCGGACACTGAGGCACAGAGAAATTCAGGGCTCTGCCCCCGGTCACAGAGCTGGCAAGTGACGGACACAGGACTGGAAGTTAAAGCTGGCTGCCTTTGCGGCGTGGGCCTTTCCCGCCCCCGCTTCCTGTGGGCCTGGCCTGGGAAAAGGAAACGCGCTCCATAATTTCCCAGGTTCCCCCGACATCGCTTACTTGCTGTGCGGCTTTGGGTGAGTTACCGTCCATCTCTGTGCCTCAGGGCCCCTCTTAGGAAAAGGGAAGACAAGACAGTACAGACCTCATAGGTTTGTTCTGAGGAATTAATGAGATGAAATAGGTCAAGTGCTTGTTGGAGTCGAGCACTGAGTAAGCAGTAGCTATTGTGATTAGTATACGTGTACCGAGCGTGGGAGAGTGTGGCTGTCCGTCAGGACGTCGTAACCTGGATAAGTTCAAGAGAGCTGTCTCCCAGGACATCATGGTTAGTAAGAAGAACACTGATAATGGGAAATAGTAATAATAATAATAATAATAATAATAATAGAAAGAAGGACAGCAAGCACTCGTACAGCCCCATCATGTGTCAAGTTCATCACAGGTATTCACGCACACGGTCTTCCCAAACACTCTGCAAGATGGATTGCTACGGTCCCATTATTATTAACCTCATTTTACAGATGTGGGCACAGGGGCACATTATATATACTATATTATAAATCAAGCATGGATATACTATCAAGGGGAGCGCAAAAATCATATTAATGCCTTTCAGATGAAATACAAGATTTTGCAGAATGCTGGCCTTGTCCCCAAGCCCCCTGAGGCCAGGCGGCTGTGCCTTCCCCCTGGGGTATTTCTGGAAGGGCGGAGCAGCACTGTTCTCGGCAGTGGCTGAAGGAACGTCTCCCCAGCTGCTTGAGGGAGGGCCGAGCTTCTAGATGCCAGGACCGCAGATCCGGGAGGAACCGGGCTTTCTTGGCCCACACTCAATGCGTGTAGTCAGGAAACAAGAGCCCAGAGAGGGATGCCCAGGCCACACAGCAGGCTGGTGGCAGGGTTAGGACTGGAAGCCCGGTCCTACTCCTAAGGATCTTGCCCCCGACCCTGGAATGGGTCAGGCACCCCTCACCCAGAGCGTCGAAGGCGGGCACCAGGCTGACATCCATCCAGTTTTCGAGGTCCGTGGATGCCAGTCGGAACCGTAGGACCCTGGCCGCGTCCTGCTCGGGAAACTCAAAGCTCAGACCGGGGATGGGTTTCTGCCACCAGGATTCTAGCAGGACCCGCATCTCGTTGAGGATCTCTGCACGGCGAACGCCCTGGTCCTCGTAGCTCTTGAAGCAGTTGAGGAAGAGGACAAGTTCGGAATCACAGCCACCCCTCAGAGCTGTGCCCCGGCCAGAGGAGCCTCCCTGTGAAGCAAAAAACAATTCAGAATTCTGCACTCTTCGATTCTGGTGACCGAGTGGGCTGGTAGGCAACCTGAACGAACCACGCGGGCTGTGGGGGGAGATGGTGGGCGCACAGCCCCTGGCATGTGAAGCCATGCAGAAATGCAGGCCGAGGAAAGCCAGGCCTGAGTTTTCAAGAAAGGCATGTTTTATTTGTAAATCCATATATCTCTAAGTGTTGGCCACTAACTTCAAAAAGCTTTTGTTAATTTATAATTTAAAAAAAAAAAAAGTTTTTTTAAGGGCACCTAGGTGGTTCAGTAGGTTAAGTGTCCGACTTCAGCTCAGGTCATGATCTCACGGTTTGTGGGTTCAAGCCCCGCATCAGGCTCTCCGCTGTCAGCACAGAACCTGCTTCGGATCCCCCGTCTCCCTCTCCCTCTGCCCCTCCGCCCCTCTCTTTCCCTCTCAAACAT